CATTACAAAAATAAACTCTTAAGCTTGAAATTTTAGTCTGAACCAGTCCTGACTAACAGTAGCAGGCCTTAGGCTGACCCATTTAGCTCGGCCTAAACTTACAACTCTACTTCTAATTTTAGGCTGGTGTTAAGTTCGTGCTTGTATACCATATGTATGTTTATTTGAATTACGTTTAGGTTTGAATATTAAAATTAGGCTATTTGATTTGTTTTAGCCTAGAACTTAATTTAGTACAAATTGATTTTAAAAATGGTCCATAAAATTTTGCTATCAATCCCGCTTTAGTGCTTAACTTTTAAAGCAATTCAAACTTAATCTCTGATCTTTCACTTTTAAAATTTTTCATCATTTTAGTTTTGAAAACAAAGAGAAATATGAATGATATTTAGTTAACAATATTATTTCATATTTTTCGGTTACAATCACATGCATATTCCTCGTCCTATCTACAAAATATTTTTTTATTAACATTACAAATATTATGTCCTCTTTTTAATGCTCAACTGAGGAAAAAGAATAAAACTAATCCAAAAATTAGATTGAGAATAAAATTCGGGTACTATTTGAGAGGTGACCTTTTTTTTTAGTAAAACGATCATAACAAGTTGACAAGAGACTATTGCAATTTGCGACTGGTTTAATAAGCGGGTTCACGGTAATAACAAGTTGGCATATCATTACATGTATAAAATACATATTTTGATACATTTAAAAATTGAATTAGGTGTATTATGTCATGTCAATCCGTGAATGAATTGATCACGTTTGGTAAAATTTTAATTTATTGTTGTTTACTTTAAATATTTTAAAATTGATTATTTATTTAATTTAATTTCGTAAAAATGTTATTTACTACCCCTTCTGAAAGGAAAAAAAAAAAAATAGAGTGACGAATGGATATGTTTCCTTAGGCATTCTTGTAAGTGCAACGATATTACTATAACAAGATGACACGTGTCATTTTTTTTCATGACACTGATTTAAAATTTATTTTTAAAAGCTATTGATTTATTCAAAATATGTTTCCATCTCAAGAACAAAAATCACTATTTTTCTTTATATGATCGTAGTAGAAGTAGAAGTATAAGGACAAGGATTAAGTTGACATTTTGAAATTTGATTTCCTAATTATTTCATTTTTTTTTTCTTTCTAGTGTTTCGAGGAAATTATTTTTCAAAACTCATATTATCTTATTCTTGTTAATTTTCATATAATAGAAAACTAAGTCTTGGATTTTTTTTTTAATGAAAAACGATATCTTGGAGTTGCTAATAAAAGTTTCATGTTCGAAACTTTGAGCTTAGAAATTGAAATAGGGGGCGAAAAAATAACAATTAGGAAAACCAGGTAGAAAATTTTATGGAGAAGGTGGATTTGTATTTTTCATAATATTAGGGGTGGAGTTGTTAATTAAAATTTTGTGTTTGAAAGATTTTAGTTCAAATGTGTGCTTTCTTTCAATATTTTCTCTTCGCCTTTGCTTTTATTTTCTCCCGTCTTCAATCTATTGACCGAGCACTCGGAGTGGCGATGAGTAAATTTAATTAGTTTTCATTTCTTTTGTGTGAATCAAAGTGAAAGGTTCGGATCATTTCTGCTTTAGTAGTTTTTCATTTCCTCCTCTTTGATTAAGTTTGGAACCTAGATTTTAGGATGGAAATTTTTTTTTGAAGGATTTTAGGTTTCCTCATGTTTGAAATAGGAAAATAATGAGAAAATTGGAAGAAAAATTTTAACCTAAAATTTATACTATAAGTGTTAATTTTAACTTTCCACTCAAAATTGAAGAGAAAATTAAAGGCTCATTTAGTAATGTTTTTAAAATAGTTTTGTTCTCAGTACAAAAATGAAAATGAGATTTTTTTTAAAATCATTATGAAATTACGTTTGATGGTCTTTCAAGATATTGATTTGAGTATGATAAAAAAGTGAAATCTTATTTGATTACATTTATGTTTATTTTGAGTACATGTAATTAATAATCTTAAATTAATATATTAAGTAATTAATAATTATTTACCATTTATGGTTTGAGTAAGATATTATTGATTAGTATATTACATATTGATAATTATAATTTAATATTAATTATTAATTGAATAATTACTATTTATTTTTATTTACCAACTATTTACTAATTAATATATTATAATTAACATAATATATAATTGATATATTAATTATTATTTATTTATTTAATGATCTACTATTACTTGTTTTATTGTTAATATGTTATATAATTAATTTTGGACAATTAATCTTTAACTAAATAAATAAATAAATAATTATATTATTAATAAAATTTAAGATTTAATAGTAATAAATTAAGATTTAATTAATAATTAAATAACTGCTATCTATTTATTAGTTATTAAGTTTATTTACTTATTAATTATTAATTAATATATAATATAGTTAGTAATTAATAATTAATTATTTAATATAACTATATTGATAAGTACTAAAAAATGAAAACGGAAAAAAAACTTTCAATCGTTTTCTACTTTTTTTACAAAAATTATTTTTATTGTGTTTTACTTTCATTTCCGTTTTCAAAACTTTTATTAAACAAACGCGAATTATAGACTATTTTCATTTTCGTGTATCAAAAGATGTGCATAAAAGTTTTTGAAAATAATTCCAAACACTATTCTTATTAGGTGCGTTTGGAATTAGTTTTAAAATGATTTTGTTTGTAATAAAAAGTAAAAATGAGATTGTTTTGAGAATCATTCTGGGACCGATTCTGAAATTGCGTTTAATTAATTTTTTAAGAAATTGTTTTGAATATAATAAAAATATAAAATCGTGTTTATTAACTAATATATTATAATATTTTTTATAAGTACTAAAAAAATGAAGAGAGAAAAGTGAAAACAACTTTCAACTAGTTTTTAATTCCTTCATAAAAATCATTCTCATCGTTTTCGTTTGCAAAACTTTTACTAAATAAACATCGTTTCGTTTTCATTTTTATTTTTTGCTTCTCGAAATACGGGAAAACTGTTTTAAAAAATGATTTCAAACACGCATATTGTGCGTGTTTGTTTCCGTTTTCAAAAACGTTTTTCACGTTTTTCGAGGAGAAAAAAATAAAAACGGTGTGAGGATCGTGTTTGGGGGCAGCAACCTACAGAAATAAAAAATGAAAACGTTTTTGTCTTTCTCCCAAAATCTGAGCATTTCTAAAAAAGAACTCGGATCGTTTTCCTTTTCTCCATTTTCATTTTCTCTGGGTTATTTTTCTTTCCTTCACTCTTCTTTCTTCCGTTCTCTTCGCCGATCTCCGTCAACTCCCAACAACCCAAGCCCAAAAAGCTCTCTCTTGACAACCCCATCACCACCACTCCTTTCCCTCTTCTTTGCCGTTGCGTCTCCGACGCCTTCCACCTTCCTCCTCCGGTTCACTCCCCTCCAGCTTACGCTCCAGCCTCGGGCATTTCTTCGAATGCCTCACCCAAAACCGCGCCGAGTCCCAACTTTGTCACGCCCTGCTCGGCCACTGCTCTGGCTCCTCGCCGCCGCCGCCGCTCCGGCGCAACAACCCCGCTCCCATTCCATCTTCGACGAAGTCGCTCTTGAGGACGTCGAGCCGCCCCCCAACTCTTCTCCAAAACCTATTTCCTCTATTAGTTTTCACATATATAATGCTTATTTAATATGTTTATTTAATATATTTAATATTATTATATATTTAATATATTATTATTTTAAATATTATTACATATTTTTAAAAATTAAACCACCAAATACAATCTCAATTTTTTTTAAACTGAAAACAATCTCGAAAATAAAACTACCAAACGCATTTTCAGAAATAATTCTAAATTGAAAATGAAAACGTTCTCATTTTCATTTTTATACAAAAAATAAAATCATTTTGGAACGAATTTCAAACGCACTTACTGCCCGTTCACTTCGTTGATTCGAATTTGTAATTTGAGTTGAGATGTGATTTTATGTGAGAGATTTTTACTGTAGCAAAAAAGTTAGATGTAACTGTTTCTGAGAACTTTTTACTGTAGCAAAACTCAAATTCTAAACTCGAATCGGTGAAGTGAACGGGGCCTTATTGTTTTTGTTTTCGTTTCCGTTTTCAAAACTTTTATTAAACAACGCGATTTGTAAACCGTTTTTGTTTTGGTACCTTTAAAAACGTGCAAAAACGTTTTCAAAAATAATTCCAAACGCACATTAAGGGCACGTTTAGTTTGCTGCTGATTTGAGTTGAGATGTGACTTTATGTGAGTTTTTTACTGTAGCAAAAACGTTAAATGTGACTGTTTCTGAGAGCTTTTTACTCTAGCAAAACTTAGGGCCCTTTAGTTCGCTGATTCTAGTTTTTAATTTGAGTTGAGATGTGACTTTATGTGAGAGCTTTTTACTGTAGCAAAAAAGTTAGATGTGATTATTTCTGAGAGTTTTTTACTGTAGTAAAACTTAAATTCTAAACTCGAATCGGTGAAATGAATGGGGCCTTAAATTCTGAACTTGGGTCGGTACAATGAACAGGGTTTAAAATTCTCTCATTAAAAAATTGAATTTCTCTCTCCTCTCTCTTTGATTACTAGTACCTAGGGCCCGTTCACTTCGCTGATTCGAGTTTAAAATTTAAATTGATATGTGATTTTATGTGAGAGTTTTTTACTGTAACTTTTTTACTACAGTAAAAAGCTCTCATATAAAATCACATCTCAATTCGAATTCTAAACTCGAATCGGTGAAGTGAACGGGGCCTTAATTTGATGATTTGAGTTTTTAATTTGAGTTAAGATGTGAGTTTATATAAGAGTTTTTTATTGTACTAAACAAATTAAATAAATTATTTTTGAGAGTTTTTTATTATAATAAAATTTAAATTTTAAATTTAAATCGGTGAGTAACTTATCACTCTCTCGTCTCCTCTCATCTCTCTCCTCGATTCCTCCTCTCTCTCTTTAGCAACTCTCCCTCTCTCCTCTCCTTCAGCCATCTCTCCCTCTCTCTCCTCCGCCCTCTCTCTTTCCTCCGCCCACCTCCCTCTCTCTTCTCCTCTCTTCTGTGGCGGTCGTCCTCGGCCGCGATCTCTCTTCTCCGGCGAGATCTGTCGCCGTCCTCGCATGCGCCGCCATCATCCATCCCGCCGGAGCTCGCGACGCATTCGCCCTCTGGTGAACGTTTTCACATGTTTTTTCTATCAATTTTCTTAACCTTCTAAACAAGTGAAAGTATTTAATTTTTTTCCCTTCTTTAGTTTTTTCCCTTCAATTTTTTTGTTTAATTGTTCTTCGTTTTGTTCCCCAATTCGTGTAATTAATTTGAATGATTAACTTTTTTGTTTATTCGTTTGCTGAGAAAATGCTAATCTTATTCAGAGTCTAATAGGATTATAGGAACCCGATTTCTCTCTGTCTGAAAGACTATTGATTCTTCTACTTGTCATTGGTTTATTGTTTTCCTGATATTTCTGAGCTTTTTGCTTATTTTTCTGTTTTGTTGTTAATTTATTTGATCTTTAATATTTGATATGTGTCAGCATTTGTAAAGATAATTTTCCTGTTAATAGGCAAAACAGGAATAGGAAAATCCGCGGAAAAATTAGTCTTGAAAGGTAATTCACTGTTCTGCTATGAGAATTGAGAACTCATTTTGGTACTTGTGAATGTAAGCTCACCATTTTCCTCTATCTCGAGCCTAGAGTTTGACTTTGAGCACTTAAGTTGTTGAAGCATTATATACATGCAAGTAATTCTTATCATAAATCATAAATACACAAATAGCCAAATTAATTGATAGTCGCACCCCATAGTCAAAAAGCACAGAAGAACTCTGTTTTTTTTTTTTTTGATATTGTTTCTCAATTATTAAATGATTGTTCTTTTCTTGGTCTGCTTCTATTTCCTGAATTGGATTTTGGTTGTTGAATAGTAATAATAACAACAACAATAGTAATAATAGACACGCCTCTCACTATGAGAAATTTGCATTGCTCTTAAGCCATCTTTGATCTGATTGAATTGAAACCCTCACATTAAAAATCAAGACTTTGTCAAGGTAGAATGGAGTTGTGTGAGAGGAAATAGCATGTGGGGTGCGCTCAAGGTAGAATGGAGTTGTGTGAGGGGAAATAGTATGTGGGGTGCGCCATTGTTTTGTTGAATTTAGATTGTTGCTTGAAGTAAAAAAGGATCCACATTTAGATTTTAGCTGAAAGGAGTTTTGACTTTTTGATTATTGTCCCTTACCATCTTCATCACACACCTTGATCCTTGAGAATTTGAGATTTGATGATGCAAAGAGCTGCTTTGTTTCATAAGATTTGTTAATTTTGGGGTTCGAGAAACCTATTGCTCTCCTAGGAAGACATTCAAATCTTGATTTATTTCTTCATCGAATGGTTTATCAAAGAATTTGTCAATTTTACAGAGAGGTTTTGTTCTCTACTTCAAACAAACAAGAAGGTAAATACAAGATGGCCAACAAAGCCAGCTCAAAGTTAAGCATCGCTGTAATTCATCCTGATCTCGGTATTGGTAAGATGCTATCCTCTTCTTTACCATTAATGTTTTTCATAATTTTCCTTTTATATTTTTGAGCAATGCAAGTAAGATGAAAAGCTTGGATTGTCCGATGTAACACGGTAACCAAGAGCAAGAAGAGAGAGAGGCAGAAAAAACCTACAAAACAAGTAACAACATATGTAGAAACCTATAAAACAAGTGACAATCTAAAAAAAATTTAAAGTCTTTTACTTCTGCTAAAATTTTAAGATTTTTTGTGGGTTGAGTTAAGGTTGTTTTTCAAGTTACTATAATTTCATTATGCTGATCAGCTGATGGAGTAATAGGTTGAAATGTATTGGGATTCCAATAACTGGCTTGTGGTTAGTGTGTCCAAGTATGACTGCGGTCTGACCTAATACTTCTTCTTTTTCGGTTTTTTTTTTTTTTTTTGGGTAAATTATTCCATGTTGAATTTGTTATGATCTTTTCAGGTGGAGCTGAGAGATTGATTGTTGATGCGGCTGTTGAACTTTCATCGCATGGACATAAAGTTCATGTCTTCACTGCACACCACGACAAAAACCGATGTTTTGAGGAGACTGTTTCTGGTATGTTTTGATCTTTTTTTTTTTTAAAGAGGGAAGGTTGATGATTTAGAAGAACAAAATCTGCTTTATTCTTTAAACTTTAGTTACTTACTGAAAGAAAAATAAGGGTTTTGTTCTTTACTAGTTGCTTCATTCTGGTGTAGTACATCATGCACGTACTTAGTTAGATGCATACATTGCTGGCTGATTAGCATAAGCCGCCGCCGCCCCCCCCCCCCAAAAAAAAAAAAAATCCTTTTAAAAGGATTGGGGAAAGAGGGATGCCAGATACTTGTCTGAGTGTCTAACCTCCTGATGAAAAATTAGTGTGGAAGCGAACTTGATTCAACTTAATGAGAAAAACTAGGTAAAGGAAAACCAAAAGAAAACAACGTACATCACACGTAGGTAGGGGGGTGACTGTTACAGCTGTAGTGTAGATGGTGGCATGTTTGATTTAGTAGAAAGAACTTTATGTAGTTAATCTTTCTTCTTATTCTATTTTTGCTATATATATTCTTTTGGTGGGCTAGGAATAAAAACTTACTTGATTTCATCTAAGGTAAGCTTAGAGTTTCTTTTCTTTTCAGCCACTCTATGCACCGTTCTGTGAAGTGCATTCCTTTATCTCCTGAATAATATTGCGTAGCATTCTTAAATGTTAATTAATTATCTTTGCAGGTACCTTTCCAGTTACAGTATATGGTGCTTTTCTACCTAGACATATTTTTTACCGTCTTCATGCTTTGTGTGCTTATCTACGATGCCTTTTTGTTGCACTCTGTGTATTGGTCATGTGGCCGTCATTTGATGTAATCCTAGTAGATCAGGTTTCTGTTGTCAACCCTCTATTGAAACTGAAAAAATCAGCAAAGGTATGCTTGTCTATTTTATACAACTTTTATCTTAGTCTCTGCTATTGTTGTAGTTTATGACATGGTTTTAAAAAGTGCCAGAGGCGCACGCCTTTAGGTGCGCCTCGTGGCGAGGCGCTGGAAAAGCGCCTCAACTCCTACACCTTACAGGGTAGGTGTTGAGGTGTGTGCCTCAGCCACTTGAGGCGCATGCCTTTGAGCAGCGCCTCAGGCAGTTAGTGAGGCGTCCGCCTCTTTGCAAAGGGTCTTCTGGTGGGTTATTTTAACATGCTGGCCCAAAAATTTTAAAAAGCCCAAAGTACCGGGCCCTTAATGACTAAGAAAAAAACCTTAATAACAAAAGAAGCAGTCAGCCACTTGCACAGCCGTCTCTCCTCCTTTTTCATCCTCGCACGGGCAAACACTCTTCTTCTTCTCTTAGTAGTGATGATGATTGATGAGTTGGGAGATTAGGCTTTTAGAAGTGCATTATGAACCTTATGATATTAGGATTTGATAATTACAAAGTCTTTCTTACACTTCTAGTAGTGAAATAGACTACTCTTTATGTGGATGTTTGGTTAAATTTCTTGCTTTTAATGATTATTAAGTATGGATTTAGTTTTTGTTAGTATTATTTTTTTTCCTAAATTTTTTATAGGCATTTTTTGAGGCTTATGCCTCAAAGTGCCTTGAGGCTTACGCCTCGCCTCGTAAAGGCAAAATGCCCCGAGGCCCGATTCCGCCTTTTAAAACCTTGGTTTATGAGTTAATTTTTATTTCCAGGTCGTCTTCTATTGTCATTTTCCAGATTTGTTGCTAGCTCAACACTCAACTCTTCTAAGGAAAATGTACAGGAAACCCATAGACTTTGTAGAGGAAATAACGACTGGTCTGTCATTTGTCTCATCTATGTCAATTTGATTTCTTGTCTTCTTTTCTGTTATTTTATATTTTATATCTTCTGTTTCTTTCACTTTGGTGCAGGCATGGCAGATTTAATTCTTGTTAATAGCAAATTTACGGCCTCTACTTTTGCAAATACATTCAAGCATCTTGATGCACGAGGAATTCAACCAACTGTCCTTTACCCTGCAGTGAACGTGGATCAGTTTGATGAACCTAAATCCTCCAGGTTACGAACGTGATTATAACTCTTTTGATGCCCCCTGATTCTAGAGATACTTCATATATAACGAGTAAATATTTATTTAGCATCACCTTCCCAAGTAATATGTGTTTTCCTCTCCTCTTCCTCTTTCTGCTTCAGGCTGAATTTTTTGTCCATCAACCGTTTTGAAAGAAAAAAGAATATAGACTTGGCAATTTCGGCTTTCTCTTTGCTGCACAAGGGTGAACATGGTGTTTTCCAAGGTCTTAATCTGGATCAAGTGTCACTGACGATTGCAGGCAAGTTCCCAACTATTATCTGCCCAAGTATTCCCAATTGTAGTTGCTTTCTACCAAACGCACCCTTATATAGTTAATAGTTTATGTTCCTTCATCATCGCATACCACTTAAAGTAATAGTGACATAGTTTGTGTATTTTGCGAACTGGAGCTTGATAGAAAACATTGGATATAGATTATGTGATTCTTGTTAGTATACTGTTTGATGGAACCTTGCCCAGGCCTCCTTTGAGATTTACCTATACTAGAAGGGGTAAAAAGGGAAAGACGAGTGATGTGGTCAGGGCTAGTGACGCTGCTGAGTTGGCAATTCAATTCAGTTAGAGTTTGTTAGAGAGGAAATATTGGGGATGGGAGGTGCGCTAGGGAGGGGCATCGAATCTTGTGAAAGTTAGTGTTGGTCTGGGAGGGGGAAAGACCTCGAATTCTCTCAATTCTATCTTTTTTTCCTTTTGGTGTTTGTTTCTGTCGAGCTTCTCTGTAATTGAGGAATAGAGGAGTGTTCATCAATAAAAGGAACCATAACCCATCTTTCTGGGTATTTTCATTTAAATTCCTAGTGTTAATTTTCATCATCGTGATTAAGTCAGGGCAGGTACCTATCAGTTGGTATCAGAGCATCGGTCCATGGCCAATCTTCCAGCTGAGTTACGACCGGAACGAGCGGTGATTGGGAGATCTCTAGGAAACGGTGCGACTCCTCGGAGCCATGACAGATCCGGTTCCTAGGCTGCAAGAAGACGTGACAATCCTTGTCGAACGAGTGGAGCGGGTGCAAGATGCGATGGTGCGCATGGAAGCTCTCCTAAGGTGGCACGTTGGAGGAGAACGTGAGCCAGCTCCACGACGAGGAGCAAGGGACAGAGACAGGGAGCGGGAGAGGACCGCCAGGAGTCTCCAGCTCGGCGAGGCTGAGTTGTGCACCGTGGGAGGAGACTTGAGCTACCCATCTTCACCGGTGAGGACCCATATGGCTACCTATTCTGAGCCGAATGTTACTTTTCGATTAACGATGTGAATGAGAAGGTGTTGGCGGCATCGGTTTGTTTAGAAGGGCGTGCGCTGGGTTGGTTCCGGTGGGCGGAAGCGCATGAGCCATTTGCCAGTTGGAGGGAATTCCGGGCAGCCTTGCTGCACCGCTTCAGCCGCGCAAGAAAGGGTGACCCAATGTAGAGGTTGATGTCATTGAAGCAGAGCGGGACGGTGGCGGAGTATCGCGACACCTTTGAGACGTTGGCGGCGGTGTTGAGAGGAGTTCCTGAGCCCATCTTCAGGGGAGGAGACTTGAGCTGGCCATCTTCACCGGTGAGGACCCATATGGCTAGCTATTCTGAGCCGAATGTTACTTTTCGATTAACGATGTGAATGAGGTGGTGTTGGCGGCATCGGTTTGTTTAGAAGGGCGTGCGCTGGGTTGGTTCCGGTGGGCGGAAGCGCATGAGCCATTTGCCAGTTGGAGGGAATTCCGGGCAGCCTTGCTGCACCGCTTCAGCCGCGCAAGAAAGGGTGACCCAATGTAGAGGTTGATGTCATTGAAGCAGAGCGGGACGGTGGCGGAGTATCGCGACACCTTTGAGACGTTGGCGGCGGTGTTGAGAGGAGTTCCTGAGCCCATCTTCAGGGGAGCGTTTCTGAATGGGCTGCGAGAGATATCCGGGCTGAGGTCAAGTTACACCTGTAATACCTGAGATTTAATTAAGGCTTAAGCCAATAATAAATAAATTTAGTAAATTAAAATCATGCACCACATTTAGTACATTTTGGATACTCCTTAGCAGTTGAATTATCTGTCTTAGGCCGCTTCTTAGCATTTTGTTGCCACTCTTGCTTCTATTTCCCTTTTGCTGTAGTTGTTCTTGGTTTCTACTGGCCATTCTTAGCGGCATAAGTAGGTTTATTCTCCAATTCTTGTCTCTTAATACCCTTCTCAGATATCATAGCCAGTTCAATTGCTTCGCTGAACGACTGAGGCCTCGACATGCTCACATCCTTGTGGATAACTGCTTTCAAACGCTTAATGAAGAAGTTCATCTTTTCCACATCACTACCTACTATCCATGGAACAAATCTTGAAAGTCCTTCATTTTTAGTGACATAGTCATCAACAGTCATAGTATCCTGTGCTAATCCCACAAACTCTGCCACTTTACTTTTTTTACTTCCTCAATGAAGTACTTGTTATAAAACAGTTCTTTGAAACCATTCCAAGTAAGGTTGGTAGCAGCTGGAGTCAACTTAATAGATGCCCACCAATGCCTAGCATTATTCTTTAGCAATTAAATAGCTCAAGAAACTCGTTGAGCATCTTCCATAACCATGTAGTCAAAGATACTTTCTATAGAATTGATCCACTCTTCAACAATTAGTGGATCAGGTCCACCATGGAAATCATTAGGATGCTGCTTCTTAAAACGCTCATAAACATGTTCCAAATTATCTTGTCTTTGTTGTCGAGAGGGAGGTGGAGGCTGATTTGCATGCTGGGCTCCTTGTTGTGCCATCATGTTATGAAACTGCTCTGTTTGTTGCTGAAACTGTTGAGCTTGTATTTGCATTTGTTGTCTCATAAACTCATTTTGTTGTCTCTGTTGATCAGCCTGTTGCTGAATTAATGCGGTTGATCCATCAAACATTTGAGCTATGTCGACGTTCGGGGGATCTCTAGCATATCTTTTACGATGCATTCTGCTACAACACTCATTTTTAACCTTTAGGTTTAAGTCAATAATAATAAATATACTTTCATGTAAATGTAATATAAAACATAAAGATATTATTCTATACATTGGAAATCATAAACATTACTCATTGGTTGAGTTTCTTATCCAACCACTTGTCTATATGTAGTTCATTGTCTTCAGAAACATTAAATAGTGGGATCTGATACCAAAATTGTAACGCCCCCAATGCTAAACTGGTCTAAGGCCGAATTTAGCGAAGTGGTGTCACTTAAAACATACTTTCTATACTTAAAACAATGTCATTTTTAAGATGTGAAAACTTGTGGTTGAAGTCATCACAAAATTTTCGTAAAGATTTTTGAACAAAATGAGTCAGTGCGCAAAATAATTACAATCACAAATGTTAGACATTAAACAGTTATTCAAAAGCGATATAGTAAAAAAAAAAACATTTTAAGCCCATCTATTATTTGGAAGTACATATAAACAAGATGCAAGATGTAGGACTTGGAGTACTCAGCCAACCTTGGAATTCATTTTTTTTTACTCTTCGGTAACAACATCATCTACATCACAAGGTAAAACTAATGAGCAAAAACTGAATAAGTAGATTTTAAATAAAGTAAGTATCTAAAATCTCCGTGGCTGAAATCTCTTTATTAAACATTATTCATAAGCTTTCATACTTATTCTTAGTTTAGGTATGATACAGAATTTCGGATCCAAGTAAGCCTTTCTATATAGGATCTCTCTAATTTTGGCCAATTCTCTTCTCTTAAACACGAAGCAGGATTTTTAGAATCTCTTTCTCTTGTGATCAATAAGAGGCTTCCTACTAGCATTTTTCTCTAGTTGTCTCAAAGACACAATTTCTCTAATTTGAGGCACCGGTCCTTCGCACCCCTGCTTACCCAGCCTCTCATCCATATACCATACCATAAAATCTCTTAAAACATAAAAACATAATAAGCAAATATCATAATCTCTTTCAAAATAATTAATCATGAATACTCTTTGAATATAAAAATTTCATAAGAGAATAAACTTGCATAAATCACAATTCTAAACAAGTTATGTCAAATAGGTCTTGTGATGCAGTTTTGAAAATGCTTTAACTCTACTTATCTAAATTTCGATCACTACTTTGCAAGCACAAACTAACTGGTTGTGGGGAGCCTTCAATGTGCTAATTAACCTTTAAAAATCATAGCTTTTAAAAATCACATTCATATCATCATATAACAAAACATATAACTGCGCATTATAACGAAAATATTCATAACAAATTCATCAAAACTCAAAATATTATGAGACTAGTGGCAAATAAAAGTAGACTCAAAACCCTCTTTTTAGAATGATAGGTTTTAGATTTTTCAAACTAATAAAAAACAACCCAAAATCCAGATTGAAGTATAATCTTGTTAGGAAAATGACAGCCTTCTAGCTGAACTTATAAAATTCATAACTAAATGTAGAAAAATCCGTTTAAAGTGATTCAAAAACTCACGTAAAGCTTGAGATGTATACTTTAATAGAAAAATATAAGATCAATCAACATCATAATTATATATAGCACGAAAACAGAATCTACATAGGCTGTATAGAGGACTTATATTTGAACATTTCATCAAATACCTAGCATGCAGATCTTAATCTTCAAAGACCACTCTCAAATACATGAATCATCATCCTAATAAGAGTTTATCTTCAAGTAATCATAAATAATATCAAGCTAAAATCATTAATTTAACCCAAAAATTAATATTTGAACCAAAACCTCAAGAAACTCATTTTTAAGAGTCTACAACCAACATGCATGATAAATCACATCAAAAATCCGAATCTCAAGTAGGATTTCAACATCTTAATCTCTGAAATCTTAGTTTCTAACATAAGAAAGAAGTTACCTCAAAGAAAAACGTGTTCCCAAGTGAATAGAAGCTCAAAACCTTAGTGATTATTTTTGGTTCTAGGTTAAAAACGAGTTGAAATGGGCTGGTTGAGTTTTTAGCTCATTTGCTCTTGAAAACCTAGGTTTGCTTATGAGTGTTTGGTGAGAAAAGGAGTGAGAAGAGAGAAAAAAATGTTGTGGTCGGAGTTCTAGGCTTCTTTGTTGAAATAGACCAAAAAATGAAGTCTAAACATAATAGAGACCAAGTAAAAGTAAAGTGACCTTATAGTAGGACAAGTGTCTAGGTTTTTCTAAGTCTTTAACATTTGTCCTAACCTCATAAAATCAGCTCTAAAGCCTCTATTTTTATTCTTTAATTAGGTGCCTAAAGTTCACTCAATTTGCTAACATAACCTTCTCTCACAAAA